AGAACATGAACCCATAAAGTCCAAACTGCTGCTTTTTGGTTTTAAACTGTTGTCATTGCAACTGGATCAGGCATTAAACGATCACCGAAAAGAGAAATAAAAACTTTTGCACAAAATGAAGAGAAGGTTGTTCATCTTTTATCAAACATGTCAGACAGAAAATAATGTATTAAACTAATGCAATAATCATCCAGTAGCTTTTAATGGTTTCGCTTCAATATCCTTAAATATACATGAATATAAACCGTTTTTAATTATATTAATTATGCCAAAAATAAGCTTTAAAAAAACAACAACAGGGTTTTATAAGCTGACAAATAATAAAAATATCAAAAGTCTTGTGATTAAACAAGGCAGAAAACAAAATGACAAAATTCTAGAATATAAACTAAAAGTTTTTGATTAGAGGAATAAATTCTATATTTTATAATTTATTATATTAATAATATTTGTAGTTTTAAAACAACTACAAATTTAGAAATTCCTGGATTAAAAAAAGATTTTGTAAAAAAAAAAAAAAGACCAAAACTATGAATGAGGAAAATTTTCTGAAATGTTAACAGATTAAAAACTGAGATGAAACTCAGAGGTTCGAATCATCAGAACTTTAAAAGCCGACTTCAGAACTTCACAGAGAATTTTATTACAACTGAACCAGAGACTGAAAGTTTCTTTGTTCCGTCTGTGTTTAGTTAGAAACACAAAGCCAACGACCGTCTGCCTGTCTGGTTCTGAAGCAGCATAAAACCCGGACCTGCGGCGCTGCGGCCCACCGGACGAACCGCCGGCCCGTCGCGGGACCGGCGCCACGCTGCACTGCGGGGGAAACACTCTGGTACCGCAGTGTTTGCTTTACACCCGCACCTTTAAGTTCTCATGACCTCTGACCTTTCATTCCACTAAAAACTCCTTCAGGATTTCAAAACTGGCTCGGCACCAATCAGAGGACAGGAAGGGCTTTCAACCAGGAAGTCGGAGTTAACGGCCGTTACAGATCCAGATGAGGTAGAACTGGTTTTAAAATCTGTTTCCCTGCACCTGAACTCTCAGGAATGACTCTACCTGGATGACATCATCACTCCCAGGTGTGGTTTACTGATGTAGTAAAACCAAATGGATCCAGCAGCCTCAGCACACATGTCCCAACCGCTTACTGGCCTATTTAAAGGAAAACATTTCCAGCAGACGAAAAATGAAATCCATTAAAAAAAGTAAAAGTTATTTTATGTCTTTCTGAGTTCAGGAGGAATAAGATCAGAAACCCGACGGTTCGGTTTGGACAGAATTTTGTCAGCAGAGGATGAAAGTCGGCATCTCAAGAGAAACGTCATCAGGCAGCAGCCTGAGCGTCCAACTATTAGAGTTCAATTCATCAATTCATTTCTATCCAGATTCATCAAAATGTTTTAAGTTTCAAGCATCTCACATGCTGAGGTGAGTCAATCATCATCAATGCAGACAGCCTGCAGAAAACTGGGCAAACTGGAATTATGAAAATAAATTTCTTTAAAAAAAAACATTTTCAGTTGAAACCTTTTGGGCTGGGACGAGATGTTGCACACCTGGATGCATTTTGCCAAACTGCAATAAAAATATTTATTCTGCGTCACATCGGTTGGTTTACAGCAGTAAAGTGATTATTGGCAGGTAATTGATAAAATGCTTACATCATTTTATCAATTATTCCCTGAGATTTTCATCAAATTTCTCATTTAATGGAAACAGCAAAGAATCGACAGAGTTTTGGTCGCCTCTGAACCGCAGCGACCGACCGTCACACAAAGACCATGTGAGACTCACCTGGTGAGACGTGCAGCAGGAAAACAAACAGAAGAATGAGCCTCATGCAGACTGACGAAGTGTGACTGACTGACGATGTGACTGACTGACAATGTGACTGAAGATGTGACTGAAGATGTGACTGACTATGTGACTGAAGATGTGACTGACTATGTGACTAAAGATATGACTGACTATGTGACTAAAGATGTGACTGACGATGTGACTGAAGATGTGACTGAAAATGTGACTGACGATGTGACTGAAAATGTGACTGACGATGTGACTGATGATGTGACTGAAAATGTGACTGACGATGTGACTGAAAATGTGACTGACGATGTGACTGACTGATGATGTGACTGAAGATGTGACTAAAGATGTGACTGACGATGTGACTGAAGATGTGACTGAAAATGTGACTGACGATGTGACTGACTGATGATGTGACTGAAGATGTGACTAAAGATGTGACTGACGATGTGACTGAAGATGTGACTGAAGATGTGACTGAAGATGTGACTGATGATGTGACTGAAAATGTGACTGACGATGTGACTGACTGACGATGTGACTGAAGATGTGACTGAAGATGTGACTGATGATGTGACTGAAATGTGACTGACGATGTGACTGACTGACAATGTGACTGAAGATGTGACTGAAGATGTGACTGAAGATGTGACTGAAAATGTGACTGAAGATGTGACTGAAGATGTGACTGACAATGTGACTGAAGATGTGACTGATAATGTGACTGACGATGTGACTGACTGACGATGTGACTGACGATGTGACTGAAAATGTGACTGACGATGTGACTGACTGACGATGTGACTGAAAATGTGACTGACGATGTGACTGAAAATGTGACTGATGATGTGACTGAAGATGTGACTGAAGATGTGACTGAAGATGTGACTGACAATGTGACTGAAGTTGTGACTGACGATGTGACTGACAATGTGACTGAAGTTGTGACTGACGATGTGACTGAAGATGTGACTGAAATGTGACTGACGATGTGACTGACTGACGATGTGACTGACTGATGATGTGACTGACGATGTGACTGAAGATGTGACTGATGATGTGACTGAAAATGTGACTGACGATGTGACTGACTGACAATGTGACTGAAGATGTGACTGAAGATGTGACTGACTATGTGTGACTAAGGATGTGACTGACGATGTGACTGAAGATGTGACTGACTATGTGACTGAAGATGTGACTGATGATGTGACTGAAAATGTGACTGACGATGTGACTGACGATGTGACTGACTGACTATGTGACTGAAGATGTGACTGAAGATGTGACTGACTATGTGACTAAAGATGTGACTGAAGATGTGACTGACGATGTACTGACTGATGATGTGACTGAAGATGTGACTAAAGATGTGACTGACGATGTGACTGAAGATGTGACTGAAAATGTGACTGACGATGTGACTGACTGACGATGTGACTGAAAATGTGACTGACGATGTGACTGACTGACGATGTGACTGAAAATGTGACTGACGATGTGACTGACTGACGATGTGACTGAAGATGTGACTGAAGATGTGACTGATGATGTGACTGAAATGTGACTGACGATGTGACTGACTGACAATGTGACTGAAGATGTGACTGAAGATGTGACTGACTATGTGACTAAGGATGTGACTGACGATGTGACTGAAGATGTGACTGACTATGTGACTGACTGACTATGTGACTGAAGATGTGACTGAAGATGTGACTGACTATGTGACTAAAGATGTGACTGAAGATGTGACTGACGATGTGACTGACTGATGATGTGACTGAAGATGTGACTAAGATGTGACTGACGATGTGACTGAAGATGTGAATGAAAATGTGACTGACGATGTGACTGACTGACGATGTGACTGAAGATGTGACTGAAGATGTGACTGATGATGTGACTGAAAATGTGACTGAAGATGTGACTGATGACAATGTGACTGAAGATGTGACTGAAGATGTGACTGAAGATGTGACTGACTATGTGACTGAAGATGTGACTGACGATGTGACTGAAAATGTGACTGACGATGTGACTGACTGACGATGTGACTGAAAATGTGACTGAAGATGTGACTGACGATGTGACTGAAGATGTGACTGATGATGTGACTGAAGATGTGACTGATGATGTGACTGACGATGTGACTGAAGATGTGACTGAAGATGTGACTGAAGATGTGACTGACGATGTGACTGAAGATGTGACTGATGATGTGACTGATGATGTGACTGAAGATGTGACTGACGATGTGACTGAAGATGTGACTGAAGATGTGACTGATGATGTGACTGACGATGTGACTGAAAATGTGACTGACGATGTGACTGACTGACGATGTGACTGACTGATGATGTGACTGACTGATGATGTGACTGACGATGTGACTGAAGATGTGACTGATGATGTGACTAAAATGTGACTGACGATGTGACTGAAGATGTGACTGACTATGTGACTGACGATGTGACTGACTGACAATGTGACTGACGATGTGACTGACTGACTATGTGACTGAAGATGTGACTGAAGATGTGACTGAAGATGTGACTGACGATGTGACTGACTGAAGATGTGACTGACGATGTGACTGACAATGTGACTGAAGTTGTGACTGACGATGTGACTGAAGATGTGACTGAAAATGTGATTCTGTGAAGCTCTGATGGTTTTAAACCTGCGTCTCTTTCTGTCTCACTGTCAGGAGCTTCAGGAGCTGCCAGATGATTCTTGTGGATCCAAACATCAACGTCTATCTCTACCAGTACAGGATTGATCAGCTGGACCTCCAAGCATTCAGACAACCAGAACCAGAACCAGAACCAGAACCTCATTCATCAGGTGACCCACTCAGCTTCAGTCTATTTTTAGCTCTAAGGTTTTCACTTCTTTCTTTATTGAAGGAAACCAGAAAATGAGGTGCGGAAATACCAAAGACCCACTGGGACCGACCCGAACTGGACCGGACCGAACCTCCTCTGAGGGACTGAGAGACTCCATGTTTCTATGAAACTCCTCCAGAACCCTCTCTGGGGTCAAAGGTTGACAGGAAACATGAAGTTTGTTTGGAATCAGCAGGAGGAAACAAATCCAGAAATCTAAAGTATGTTTCACTATGAGAACCAAGCTGTTGCAGCAGGAGTTTCGTGACCTGCTGCAGCAGCTGCTGCAGCTTTCCTTACCTCAGTGAAGAAGTTATCCATGGCTCCTCTTTATTGTAATCCCAGAGGATTCCCTGTGTGGACGCTGATCCAACTCATTCCCAGTTAAAACGAACCGAAACTTTCAGCGCATCGTCTTCATCCTGCCAGCCGCTGCGGGATGCTCCGTCCTTCCTTCCTTCCTTCCTTCCTTCCTTCCCTCCTTCCCTCGCTCCCTCAGCAGCGCCTTCACTCTTTGTTTCAGGAGTTTTCATCCAGTTAAAGTCCGTCTGGTCGCGCTGCGTCCTGCGCGTCTGGATGCGCCTGAGCTCCGACAGTTTGGAGCAGAGGAGAGACGCGGCTCGCCGCGGGAACTTTGGACCCTTCAGCCGGGACTCGGTGAGCCCGACCCGGACAGAGAAGCTCCTCCCCCTGCTCTTCCTCCTCCTCCTCTTCCTCATGTCTCACTGACTCCTCCTGCTGTTAACATGTGGACCAGGAGACTCTGAACGTCCAGCGCTCAGGACGGGATATGGCAAGTCAGTTTGTCATATAATCAGGACAGACGCAAAAAACAACCTTTGTGTTTTTCTAACACTTAAACCAGATGAAATGTTCCCTGTTTTTTTCCAGTTAAATTAATAAAAGTATTTCTATTTACTAAAAATCAGAAAAACATTTTTTAAAACAAAAACTAATTCACAAAACAAACATTTAGTTTAATTAAACTGAATATTTAATCATTTAGTTCAATCAGAATAAGTATTCAGAGAAACTCCTGCTAGTTTATGAAATATGGACCAATTATTCTTACCAATATGTAGTTTTATTCTTTTACATTTTTGTCTTTCTTTTGTTTTATTTTGTTTGTATTTTTTTATGCAAAGCACTTTGAACTGACCTATTGATGAAAATGTTTCATATAAATTCAATTACCAGGAACCATAAAGGATTTTATTACTGATGTTTTCTTTCTTCCTTTCTTTCTTTCTTTCTTTCTTTCTTTCTTTCTTTCTTTCTTTCTTTCTTTCTTTCTTTCTTTCTTTCTTTCTTTTTTCTTTCTTTCTTTCTTTCTTTCTTTTTCTTTCTTTCTTTCTTTCTTTCTTTCTTTCTTTCTCTCTTTCTTTCCTTCTTATATGACAGAAATATTTCTCTAAACTTCTCTGGACTAATAATTTGTTTGCTTTATATATGAATTTAGATGTTCTGGTTTGTCTTCCTCTGTTGAACAAATGTTCTTTAAATCACTTCAAGTTGAAATCATTTAAACTTGAAATCCAAAGAAAACTAACATCAAATTAAACTGATATTGTAAATTCTTTCAATGTCAGGAAATTAAATTCCAGCTTTTCTCTTTGACTTTCTTCAATAAATCAAACTGATACAGAGAAATGTGGAAAGTTTCTCTGAATTATAAATGATAAGATCTGATGCTTGGATTCTGCTGCATAGACAATAATCTGCTTCCTGCTGCAGAATCAAGTCATAAGGATCCATTACACTGATCAGCTGACATACATCAAGTCAATTAGTCAATTAGTTATAGATGAGTGACTTATAATACTGATCCTGATTCAGTTTATGATTTATATTTAAAATATTTAAAGACTGAATATTTGATCTTTGCAAAGTTAAAGGTTTATTTTAAGGTTGAAGGTGAAAGTAAGAGAATAAACTCTGTAAATATTCAACTATTGACAGTAAATTAGGAGACAAAGGTTAAATTCCAAGTTTTGCTGCTTGTACAGGCAGTAAAACCTGTTAGTCCTCAGCGTCCTGATTGGCTGCAGCACTGACACGTGACTCATAGATCAGAGCTCAAACCAGTTTCTGTTTTCAGGAAGTGAAACTCACACAGTCGCTGTGACTGAGAGCAGAAATGGAGCAGAATCAGCCGGACAGAGAAACTTTCTCCTGTTCGATCTGTTTGGATCTACTGAAGGATCCAGTGACGATTCCCTGTGGACACAGCTACTGCATGAACTGTATTAAAAGTTTCTGGGATGAAGGTGAGTAGAAGAAGAACTACCACTGCCCTCAATGTAGGGAGACATTCACATCAAGGCCTGTTTTAAAGAAGAACATCACGTTCGCAGCTTTAGTGGATCAACTGAAGAAGACTGGACTCCAAGCTGCTCCTGCTGACCACTGCTATGCTGGACCTGAAGATGTGGCCTGTGATTTCTGCACTGAGAGGAAACTGAAAGCCATCAAGTCCTGTTTGGTCTGTCTGGCCTCTTATTGTGAGAAACACCTTCAGCCTCATTATGATTCAGAGACATTTAAGAAACACAAGCTGGTGGAGCCGAACAAGAACCTCCAGGAGAACATCTGCTCTAAGCATGATGAGGTGATGAAGATGTTCTGCCGCACTGATCAGAAGTGTATCTGTTATCTCTGCACTATAGATGAACATAAAGGCCACGACACAGTGTCAGCTGCAGCAGAAAGAGCTGAGAGGCAGAGAGAGCTGGAGGAGAGACAAGGAAACATCCAGCAGAGAATCCAGGACAGAGAGAAAGATGTGAAGCTGCTTCAGCAGGAGGTGGAGGCCATCAATCACTCTGCTGATAAAACAGTGGAGGACAGTGAGGAGATCTTCACCCAGCTGATCCGTCTCCTCCAGAAAAGAAGCTCTGATGTGAAGCAGCAGATCAGATCCCAGCAGGAAACTGAAGTGAGTCGAGTCAAAGATGTTGAGGAGAAGCTGCAGCAGGAGATCACTGAGCTGAAGAGGAAAGACGCTGAGCTGGAGCAGCTCTCACACACAGAGGATCACAACCAGTTTCTCCTCAACTACCCCTCACTGCCAGCACTCAGTGAGTCCACACACTCATCCAGCATCAACATCCGTCCTCTGAGACACTTTGAGGACGTGGCAGCAGCTGTGTCAGAGCTCAGAGACAAACTACAGGATGTCCTGAGAGACTCATGGACAAACATCTCTCTGATGGTCACTGAGGTGGATGTTCTACTGTCAGAACCAGAACCAAAGAGCAGAGCTGAATTCTTGAGATATTCATGTCAAATCACATTGGATCCAAACACAGCTCACAAAAAGCTGGTTCTGTCAGAAGGGAACAGGAAGGTGACAGCGATGGGTCAACCTCAGTCTTATCCAAGTCATCCAGACAGATTCACTGATTACTGGCAGGTTCTGAGTAAAGAGAGACTAACTGGTCGTTGTTACTGGGAGGTGGAGTGGAGAGGGACAGCTTTTGTAGCCGTCGCATATAAAAGTATCAGCAGAGCAGGAGGTGGGAATGAATGTAAATTTGGAGGCAATGACAAATCCTGGGCTGTAAATTGTTTCTCAGATGGTTATCAATTTGGTCACAACAACATCTGGACCTCCATCTCCAGTCCAGTTTCCTCCAGAGTGGGAGTGTACCTGGATCACACAGCAGGTATTCTGTCCTTCTATAGCGTCTCTGAATCCATGACTCTGATCCACAGAGTCCAGACCAGATTCACTCAGCCGCTTCATGCTGGAGTTTGGTTTCACTGGTCAATAGGAGAGAGTTCTGCAGAGTTCTGTAAACGCAAGTAGATTTTCCCTGAGATTTTTTTATTTTGTCTGCAAAGTGATTTATAAATTGAGGAAGTAAAGATGTTCTAATGATCTTAAAGTTTCACTTGTTTCATGTTTTAAATGAACTGAAGTTGTTTCTGTTGTTTCTTAACCTGAAAACGTTCATAAAACTTCAGATTCTCTGTAAAAATGAAAACAAAAGAAAATAAAAGAAATTAATTCAAATCATCTAATGAGTCTCTGAGTCGTTTTCACTACAGGAAGAAACTTATCACTTCAGGAAACATAGAGATAAAACTGGATATTGTTTTTTAAAGATGTAATAAAATCATTAAAATAGAGACAAGTCAGAAAGTCTTTCCCATAAATTCATCCAGCTGTCAGGATTCATTTTCCTTTCTAATCCCTGGATATTCTCCCAGAATCTCACACATTTATAAACTTTGTTTTGTAAAAACGACTTTTAATGATATTCTGTTCAAAAGTTTGAATTTTGCAGAATGAAAACAGATTTTGCTCTGATGGATCATCCAGGATTTATCCTGGTTCTTCTGGTTCCTGTTACCTAAATCCAAGTTTCAAAACATTAAAAACATGATATTATATCCTGACTTCACTTTGGAATTACAGCTGTAAAATGTCCTCATTATATTCACTAAATTAAGTTTTGATTCATTTTTCACACGTTAAAAAGCAAAAGTGACTGAACTTGTTGAGCTCATTTGATCTGTTTTTCACCACTGATGCTTTATAATTAAGTTTTAAATGCTTAAAGGTTTTCCAGTAACAACAAGCTGCTCACATTCAGCACAGAAAGTTGAATATTTCTTCATTTTGTTGAGCTGCAGGATTCCTGCAGAAAGCAACACAAAGTCGTCTCCATTTAAAAATGTCAACAAATCAAGATTCTAACTCTTTGGTTCCAGATTCCAGTTTGTTCCTCATTTATGAGCTATGGAATTAAAGATTTGAGTTTTTTTTACTATAAAACTAAGCGCCTCAGTTTATTATTGTATATTTTGTTAGTATTTGTGACAAAATCTAAATCATTCTGTGACTTATCTACTCCAATGTTTAAAAAGTTATTGATCTTTTATTTTAATTGTATTAATTTAACATTTTATTGTTTTATGTTCTTAAACTTTTACATAATAAAAATTAAAAACAAAAGTTTTTCTTGATGAATTTTGTGTCTTTAATATTTGAGAAACAGATGATTCCTGCTGGACACACAAAATGATTTTTTTAAATCAAAATTTTTAATTTTCTAGTTTCCTTACATGAAAGTTTTCAGCATTTCTTCCTTTGAGGAAAACTTCCTAATTTAACGGTTTGTTTGGGTGAATTGAGCCTTTAACTGGCAGCAGGTTCAGAGCCACCAGGATCTGAACAGAATCCATCATCATTCCTGCTGGAGGCGGATTAAATGTTTCTGGATTAGAAAATCCTGGATGCACTTCCGGTTTCTCTTCCTGGAACAACCAGAATCTGCAGAGACAAAATCTAACATCTGAAAACAAACAGTCAACACACCGGAGATGACTGACTAAAATCAGTTTAATCTCTAGAGCTTTGCAAATGCTGCCACCTAGAGTCCAACTGTAGGTAATACAGAGCAGGAAAAGCTTTGATGTTTTTGTTTTTCTTTTTCAAGAAAAAGTAAGAACTAGAAACTACTGAACAAGTTACTTATATGTCAATGTGACATGAAGAAACCCGTCAATCATTCACTGACCAATCCACGGCCGCTGTTGGTCCCGAAGTCTCCGCCCCTTTTCTGGACCTCCATCAACATGTCATCACTGAGCGCCGCGGGCAAAAAGGGAAATAATATGAAATCATGTCCAAAGCTGTCAGAGGGAAACTTGATATTCAGAGAGTTTAGAGGACGGAATATAACTTGCTAGATTGACCTCAAGTCGACCTCATGTTGACCTCATGTTGACCTCACGTTGACCTCACGTCCTGTTGAATGAAACAGCCACATGTTGGCTTGCAGTTGTAAACATCATAAGGACAGAATGAAGTCCAAACCAACATTTACAAGTGGAGGTTTTTATCTCCAGCTGATGAAAACGTTCTGCAGTAAATGATGTTTTTACATTTCTCACCTTTTATGCTGTTTTTATTTTGAAGCATTTTTCTGATTTTCACCAGCTCTTAAGTTATTCCTGGTTTTGTGCTTTTGAAATGCAGCGTTCAGACTTGCATCCAATCAGAGGGCGTGTCCCTCACTTCCACCTGGACTTGGACTATACGGTTGGTTTCTCTGCTGTTTCCTGTAAATAACAGACCTGATGAAAAACTGCTTGTAGGATTTTATCGCCTGTCGGGTGAAAAGACAGAAATGAGTTGAAATTGAATTTCACTAAATGCCATTATTTGTTTGTCTGATGTTTGATTTACTTCAGTATTAGAGCCGCATCATTTCTTCTTTTCTATTATGGTGAATCAAAAGCAACTTTAAGGAGCATAGCGCCACCTACTGTACATGAGTGTGTAGCTACTCGGCCTCACACCCATTAGATCCTGTTTCTTAATTTTGCTTTATGAAGATGAATAAATAATGGTTTCATTAATCTATAAATATTGACTGTTTCCTTCAGTTCCCAATATTCCTCCATTCTTGTTCTGTTTGTCTATTTTCAATTTTTCCTTCAGGCTCATGTATTTTTATAATTCATGATTTTTTCCCTTCTGATTCTTTCACTGATATTTGGATTTTATGTCAATATCTTCCTTATCTTCATGCCACCTTTAAGCCATGTTTCTATTTCACTTGTAATTATTGCATTACTGGAAAGAGAATATTAATTGTTTTAATCATATTTAAAAGCTACAAATAATCTGCTGTACTAAAGTTTATGAAAACAATCAGAACTTCTTTTTGTTTCAGATTATCAAACAAAAAATATGTTAGCAAAGCAGATTTCAGACAACAGTTTTGTTTGAAGGATAGAAATCAGTCCTAATCAATCAGGCTCTTTTTGAAAAATGTGAGTTTGTGCATTTGGTTCTATAATACTCGTGTTGCTGATTATCGTCACTAATGGTTTTCCGTACCAGTTGAAAGTCTCAGTTCTGTTGTCTGTGTTCTGGTTTAGATTCTTCCAGTCAGTTCATGTTCATCAGTCACATTCCTTCAGGTTTCCTGCAGCTGTTCTGTCTCCTCCTGATTGGTCGCACCTGCTGCTCACTTCACCCACTGCCTGTCAGCTGGCTGCAGTTTTTCCTTCCTGTCTGATGTCCTCCAGCTTCTGATTCAAATCCACATCAATTTTTATCTGCAGAGGGTGAAACTTTGCATCAACAAGTGAATTCATTGACCAACAGGTTCCCAAACCACATCCATGCATCCAACTGAAGGTGGCGCTCGAGGGCAACAAACCAGCCAAGCAGAGACTGGAGGAGTTCAGTCCAACTGCTTTTCCCCTCCACTGAGCTCTTCAGGGTTCCAGTAAATATTTACACCCGATAAAAAAAAATAAAAATCTCTGCAGCAGAAAAATCTTTTCCCTCTGCAGATTTTTCTCCTTCCCTCTCAGCAGGTAGAATATCTTTCAGATGCTGCAGGAGTGAAAATTCATTCACATTCGGATCAATTTAATGATTTCACTGAAACTGTCATGAAGTTAAAATCACAGAGACAAACGCATCCCGCTTCCTCATCCGGTCCATTTTCACACGGTGCTTCTGAACATTGCCGCGCGTGCACGTGCGCTCGGGGTGCGTGTGCGCGCAGGCGGAGGACCGCCGAGCTGCAGCCGAACCGTGAAGCACAAGCCGCCGAGCGCGCAGGAAGAGCCGCAAACTGAGACTGAGGAGCGCAGAGGGAGCGTCAGAACTTCAGTCCGCACGGTAAGAGCCCCGCATGCCGCTGCGGCCCCTGGTTATTTACCCCTGCGGAGGCGCCTGGCGGCTCCTGGCGGCTCTGGGGTTTTTTTTTTCCTACCTTTTGTCTCTTTTTTCCTCCAAGCGTCTCCGTGAGGCGGACGCACCGCGCCGCTCAACGGAACCAACCAGACAAAAGATGCAAAAGGTTTTCTGACATAAAGTGAAAGAAAATGGTTGGAAATGTTTGTGGAAATGTCCTAATTAAAGTTTAAATGTCCAGAATGTGCACGCGCTCTGGAAAGGGGTGTGTCGGTCTGGAGCAACGCGCTCGAGCTCAGCCGCGTTTTTACGCTTTTATTGATGAAAATGCGCCTTTACGCGCCGCGTTCACGCTCCATCTGAACAGTTTTGAATCGAGTCCAAGTTGCCTGATGTTTGTCGGGTTCTGGTGACATCAGGGTGGGTCAGAAGATGCTTCTGTGTCTGGATTCCTGTTTCTGTCACTCCGCGTCTCTAAGCGCGTTATGTCACGATGCCGATGAATTATTGATGCCATGTTCCTTTTTTATTGCTCTGGGAAGACAGAGGGGGAGGATGGAGGTGGAGGTTCGGATGGAGGTTCGGATGGAGCCTGATGGTCCACCTGATTCCTCCATCTCTTCTCATCCTCCTCATTGTCTCTGCGCTGCGGTTGTTGCTGCATCGACGTGCCGCTGATTTCTGCACACAGTCAAACTTTATTAGCTCCTCAGTCCGTTAATTGCCTGGTCCTTTGTTTGCCGCGGCACGCATGCGCAGTGAGTGCAGGGTGTGGATGGGAGACGCCACCTTGCAGGATGGAGGAGGATGTTTCTGATTCATGCTCGGTTCGCTCATTTACGTTTGGTTGATGTGAGACTCGGAACCGATTGAAGGATCCGGTTCTTTAGAAGAATCTGCGTGAATGAGGCGTGTTGTGCGTGAATGAGGCGTGTTGTGCGTGAATGAGGCGTGTTGTGCGTGAATGCAGCTCATCACCTGCTTCATCCTGCAGCCAAAAGCCCAAATGAACCCGAACCGCAGAATCAGACACGACCTGGTTATTAAAATACCCAATAATAATAATAATAATAATAATAATAATAATAATAATAATTAATAATAAAAGAACACAGATTGTTTTCTAAATGCTGACTTGTAAATTAGAGCCCTGGGTTTTGTGAATTTGTTAAAATTTTATTTAAATTGTACATTTGATTTTATTTTTAAATTTTTATTTAACTAAAAGATAAAATTACAATAATTACATTTTTATTTTCTTTATTTAAATGTATCAAATTATTTAAAATATATAAAATACATTTATTGTCTTTTTTAATAAACATCTCAAAATAAAATATTTTACTTTTTAAAAATATTTTACATTTAAATATATTTCTATTTGATTTTGATCTTGTCATCATTAACTGCAGTCTTTCAGCATCATATTATTAATGTTTGTGACCTCTGACCTTTGTTTAGCTAATTAAAGTCATGCATTCTTTCCTTCTGGTCCAGTTTAAACTTTAACAGGAAATCCAATAAACCAAGTCAAACATTTCCTGCAGTTTGAACAAAAACTCAGCAGAACGAATGAAGAGATGTTTACTTTTTATTATTCATTAAAACTTGATTCAGGGTTTAGTTTCTGGAATCCCTCCATGTCTGTACATGATATTGTTCTATGAACGCTGATATCTGATCCCAGATCAATGAATTGTTCAGTTTCAAATCAACATGAAGGCTCAACAATAGACCCAAAGCAAACACACAGAGACGATGTTTGCTCTGTAATCTGGCTCCCTGCAGGCGGACAGGAAGTGGCGACGCATCACATCCCCCCGCAGGATGGGCGTCCAATCATGACGGGCCTCATGATCAGAACAGGTTCAGGTGGTTGAAACGTCTCAACCCGATGAGGTAAAACAGAGAAATCTCAGGATCCAGTTCAGGTGGGACAAACGCCTGCGAGAAAATAAAATCCATAAATACTCGAGAAAAAGTCTAAAAACGGATATAAATCCTTATTTTAATCTCAAACATCAAATATGCCTTGACACGCATCCGTACGTTCAGAGGAAACTGACTTAGCGATGCTAAGCTAACATCTCCAGGCTCATGTGACTCTTTGAGTTTCAGCCAATCAGAGCCAAGCAACAGGAATGCTGCTCTTTGATTGGCTGCTGCTGAAACGCCAGCCAACAGTGTGAAGCAGCATTCCAGTTTCCCAGGATGCATTTCACTTTGAATATTTGATGGAAGAATCTGCAGGTCGACAGTAAATCAGACTAAACCGTTTTAGTCCAGTTCAACAGAAATGGAGGATAAAAACTTTTCTTAATTTAAAATGTGAAACTGACATTATTTGGACAAATCAGCCTTTAAACATCTTTAACTTCCTGTCTTGAGATGTTGCTCAGGATTTTTAGTTTTCTTTCTTCACATTAGTTTTGTTCAGTGCACCATTCCCTCAGCATGATGCTGCCACCTCTGTGCTTTACTGCAAACTTCCTCCTTCAAAATAATGGTCACTTGCTATTGGAGTCATGGCTTCTTCCTCTCTGCGCGGCTTTTCAGTCCATGCTGGAACAAAATGAGGAACTCTTTTACTGAAGATGACGGCGGCGCCTCGTTGGCGTCCTGATGAGGTCACACAGAGGTCGTGTGGATGAACTGAAAGTTCAACCAAGTTTTTATTTTATTTACCTCAAAGCTGTTAAACTGACCTGGAAATCATCTGGCCTTACAGAGATTGTGCTCTAACTCTAAATGCAAATTTTAAGGTAAAGAAATTTGCATTTATTTAAATAAATGCAAATTTATCTAAAAAACAAAAGCTTTAAAAGTGAGGCAGCGTTATTGTCATATGGGAAATATTCATCACTTTCTGGTTCTGGACAGGCGGCTGGAGCAGATGGACTCTTTATTCAGACAAATAAAATCTGAAAATAAAATGTTGGGCACAACATAAATGATTTCAGTTATTATTTTGTGCTGCAGTGAACGTGTTGCTTTTCTAAAACTGACCAAGTTCAGGCCAGAAAATAACAGAAACTTCAGTCATTATGTTGTTGGCCAAGTTTTGAAAATTACTGCAACAAGTCTGGATACTTAGGAAACCCAAGTTTATCAATAATAATTATGAATAACTGCTGAAAAGCAGCTCTGGTTTCTGTTCACTAGAAGCTCTGAGCTTCAATCCTTTTGGCTCAGAGTTTAGATTTCATCAGGGAAGAGATAAGATCTGAGCTCCACCTCCACTGTTCTTGCTTCATCTCCTTCCTTCCTTTGTGAATTTCTTGGAAACTGACCACAATTATTCTGGGCCCAGCCGACTGCAGCCCGGCAGCTGCTGCAGCAGCTCGGCTGCAGCAATAGCTGCTGCTGCAGTTCGGCTGCAGCAGCTCGGCGTTTTAAAGCTGATAAGGCTTCATGCTGCACGATGGGCTTCGGTGTCGGCGCTGCATGTCGGCCTGGCAGGAATGAGGAACTCTGAGGTTTCAATTTCCTGTTTGAGGAAGCATGACTGTATTAAAAGATCGTAAACTTTTTTAAATGTTTATTTTGGTGGCGTTTCAGCAGAAGTACGGTCAGAGTGCAGAGGAGGTTAAACATGTGACAAGATAGGAGCTACAATACCAGAAGCCTTAAAGTTTATTTATAATCATATTTAAATAAGAAGCAACATATTTTTAATGAGTTCATTTTGTTGCTTTTCTCCTCCTGGTTTTGTTTCTTTCCTTTTTTTGTTAACTTCCTTCAGAGGATTGTTTTCTAGTTTCCAGAAATGCTTCATGCACCATAAATATCCTCAGACTTGGATTCTCATGCAGGAACAGAAATATTTCAAACGCAGCTCTGACAGTTTTCTCCCTCCTACAGATTGCTTCTATCATTATATTTTGATAAATGGAGAAAAATGCAAAATCAGTCCATTTATTAAAATAAAACCAATCCATAACTAATAACTGGTAGAAAACAGAAACTTATGAACCTCTTTCTCATAGCGCTGGAGGTATTTTGAACCTTCCATATTACAGGGATTTTAGGCATGAATAACCAGTCCAGACTTTGACTAGACCAGTCCAATGTCTACACTGATTCTTCTTTATATCTGGAGAGATTCGGAGACGGTCTTGCTGGTGAACTTTGGATCATTGTCTTCCTGTAAAACCCAAGTTCTCCTGAGCTTAGCGTCTCTAAGCATCATCATGCGGCCGCCATGTTTCACCGTAAATATAGAAACATTTGGTTTTATGAGTTTTTGTTCAGCTGTGGTTTTGGCTGTAGACCATTTCCCCGATTCTTCTCCGACCTTCTGGGTCCTCGGAGTCCCAGAACCTCAGAAATGATTTTATCGCCTTCACCAGCATGATGGACAGCAGTGATTTTATCGCCTTCACCAGCATGATGGACAGCAGTGAATTTGCTTCATGGCCGGTTCTTGGGTTTCTTTAGTTTGAGACATGATGTGTTGCCTTTTTCTGCCTACTTCCTGCTGTCAGTCAGCTTCTTTTTAAAGGACTTCTTCATTCTCTTCAGGTAAGAATCATGACCTTTGACCCAAAAACAAAACGGTTAAATCCTCAAATTATTCAGCCACAGATTCTCTGCTTGTCGGACGTTTTAAACAAACGGACAGAAAATGACAGAAATGGTTCAAAGTTTGGAAACATTTAAACTTCAGACGTTTATCGCAGATGTGTGAGGAGCAACAGTCCGGCTAACGTTGCGTTAGCAGCTGCTGGTATGGATTCTTCTGCAGCAGCAGCTCTGAGTGAATTCATGATCTGGATTCAGCACGAAGTGAAAAGTTTGATGAACCTGCTGGACATGAAACTGAATGAGAAATCAAGAGCTGGCTTCCATTTCAAGATATTTAATCTGCCCAGTTCAACACCGATGTCTTTCCTCTGCTCTGATTTCTGAGGCGTCGTCTTCGGTAAAGTGCAGCCGGATGGACCGAACCCGGCGACGGCTCGGCATCGCGTCCTTTCACCGTGAGCGCCATCTGTCACATCGCGCCTTGTCTTCCAGGAAATTACAGCTCAGGCCGAAAGCGACAACATTATCTGATATGTACCCCGGCGGGCCGCGATGGATGAGCCGGGCCGAGTCCAGCTCCGCTCCGCTGAATCCCAAATCCACTCAGCCGTCCTGCTGGACGTTTAATCAGCGAAGGGGGCAGATAAAGGCCCGACCCGGCCGCCTGCTTCCTAAAGGCTGAGCTGACGCTGATAACGCTCACAGCTTTAATAGCCAATCAAACCTCATTTGTCTTCCTGAGGACGCGGCACCTGTTACTGCCTGATTATAGGGACCTGAAGGAACGTTTGCAGCATATTAAACTCAGATTAAATGCATTCTCTTAGAAATATGACCTGTGCCTGAGCTGATGCCCTTGTTCACCCCTCTGAACATGCTGCTCACTAACCAGAAGAGGAGCTCCGGCTTTTCTGATCCAGTAAATCAGAGAGAATTTCATCCATTAACATCATTTAAACTCTGCAGACGTCCACAGTGCAGCAGCCATTTTGTTTCAGGGACTCTGCTCTGATCCACTTTTATTTGCTAAAGAAAATGTCAAGTAGAGTTTAGTTGCATTGTTCTGTTTTACAGCGTTATAATTGTGATTTCATTTTCACAAACTTTAAAATGACTTCTTCCTATTAAATGAGTTATTTTCTTTCTTTGGTGTTGAAATACCTCAGTGAGCCTCTTCAGTTCAGATTCACCACATCTGACAGCAACGTTGCATCACAAAGAGATCATCTGCATAAACTAGTTCTAGTTATGATTAATTCACAGATTTTTCTCCATGAGGTTCTGACCTGTAAAACTAAAGCAGTGCAGCTAAATGAGTCTCGTTTCTCTGATGAACATTGAACAGTTCACCCAGCAGCGATAGGAGCTTCTCTCAGCCTGATGACGAACGGCCGTCTCTTCTTCTTCTTCTCTCTTCTGTTCACCGGGAGTCTGGAGGAGCTGCCAGGCCGCTCGTCGCTCTTTGAGCCAATCTCAAACGGCGCAGAGACGGAGTCTGAAAATAATGAGATGGAACAACAGAGTTTAGAGTCGTAGGTGCTGGGCCCGCTCGCCTCGGCGCTGCAGTCCCAGTTCTGTCAGCTCCCATCAGCGGCGCAGAGACGCAGCAAGAAAGAAAATTACCAGCAAATCTCTGAGCTGGATGGCTTCCCTTCCCGAGTCTGGGCCGGGATCAGGAGGGATCAGGAGGGCTGTCAGGATCAGTCAGCGGCGGGAGGCGCTAAGGATCCGGCGCTGAGGATCCGGTTCAGACGAACCGGTTCTGCTGAGGAGCATCAGATGAAACAATCACACTGAGCAACAAACAAGCAATTTCACAAGAGCCCAGATCCAACATGAATAATCAGCTTTAAAGGAAATAGACGCCACATGTACATCAGGGGTGTCCAACATGAGGCTCGGGGGCCTTTTGTGGCCCCTGAATGATATAAATTTGTCTCACCATCAGATGGACTTTTTTAATTTAGAGAAACTCTGACTCATAAATTAAATGTTCTCACAAAAATGTGAGAATTAATTATTAATTAATAATTTAATAACTCAGCTCTGAACACATCACCACACTGAAGCAAACTCAGGCTTCAACGTTTCATTGTGTCCAGCATGTGTGGGATCTGCTATTAGCTGCCCTTTTCCTGACCTTTGACCTTCACAAGACCTGAGGTCAGCTCCAATCAATAAGGACTATTTTTGTAATGCGTTTTTTGTTAAGAATTTATTATTCAGTCATTTTTAACATTAACCTTCATGACTAACATTTAAAACCTTTTAGGTCTTAATGAACGTTTCCAGTTTTTAAAATCAAGTGCAAAAACATTTTAGAAAACTAATTTGTTTTAAGTTTTATTAAATATGTAAGCTGTAGTTTAAATTAATATTTCATTTAATATTAGCACATTTACAACATAATTATAAAACCTGACCTTTGATGTAGTTTTATAACTAAAAATGCAGTTTTAAAATATCTGCAAACTCCAGACATTAAAGATAAAAATCAACTTTAATATTGAGATGAGGCCAGATGGAGATACATACACCGGCCCAGTCTGACCAGTGATGAACCCAGTCAGACCAGTGATGAACCCAGTGATGAACCCAGTGATGAACCCAGTGATGAACCCAGTCTGACCAGTGATGATCCCAGTCTGACCAGTGATGAACCCAGTGATGATGAACCCAGTCTGACCAGTGATGAACCCAGTAATGAACCCAGTAATGAACCCAGTGATGAACCCAGTCTGACCAGTGATGAACCCAGTGATGATCCCAGTCTGACCAGTGATGAACCCAGTGATGAACCCAGTGTTCTGCCCAGTCACGCTCTGTGGTGTCAGCTGATGCTTGTCTCGGCTCTGACCCCGGGGCGTTTTGGGGTCGTCTGGAGTTCAGACTTCGTCCCGGTTTGGCCTGGCGCTGCTGACTCCTGGTCTGCCGCTCTCTCTCTTTCTCTCTCTCTCGCTCTGCCTGCGTCTCTGTTGGGGACAATGGACGCCTGCCACGTCCGATCCGCCAGGCTGACTGTGAGCCGAGGACGCGCCGCTGATGGGCCGGTTCAGAGCCGGCGGTCGGTCAGTGCAGGCAGAACATCTGAGTCTGCAGTTTGGGGGAATCTGTGCTGTAAGATGCTGAGGCTTCTTTTGTTTTTAAAGTGCTTCAGGATTCATGTTGATCCGTTTTAAAGACCGTCGCCATTTTCCTCTCATCAGTCTAAGATTGGATGGAAAAAGCAATCAGTCTGTCTGCTGAAGTCACATGACTGAAGAGATGTTCACTCTATCATAACTGGGGTTCAGTGGAGCAGCTGTGACTATCTTACCTGCAGTTGGTAGTTTGGTCAAACTTAATGTAGAACAGGAACCATCTGAGAGCAAATTGTCATCATCTCAAAGCAGACGTGTTATTCAAAATTCACATTTTGCATATTTCTGTTCTTCAATTTGAGTTTCAGACCAAACGCTTCAAAAACCTCCAAAATCTGTCATCTCAATCAGCAGCTGTTACCTGGTAACCCCAGCAGAACCCTGGTACCTTGGCCCCGCTGGTTGTACCGCTGTATGTGCTGTACAATGGCTGCTGGAAAAGAGAAGCGCTTTGCTGTTGACTTACCATCCAGAAACCATTTGATGCGTTCTTGATGGTTGTGCAGGAGGTTCCACTTCTACTTTTCAAACATGTACGGTTGTGTAATCAGTTTGCAGCCATTTTCATGTGAAAGCGTTGAGGTGGGGGTGTGGCCAGCAACAGCTGGCTTGGATTTAAAGATTTAAAACGGCTCAGTCTGAAAGGAGCTACGACAAAGGAGAACATCTGATGAACATGTTTTCGATCGACCATAAATTTATCCTCTCCTGATCAATGAAGCGTAATCGTTCACCTTTAACTGATCAGACTGAGGACTTGTATCTTTTGTATAGCATTAAAATTAGTCATGATGTTTTTCAGTCTAACATTATCCAGCTCAAACGTCACACTGATTGCCCTGGTGACGGTCGGTGTCAATTTTCTCAATAAGGAAACATCCTCAAAGCTGATAAGAATAAAAACCAAAATAAACTTTTACTTTCAATCCATCAACATGGAAACGACAGGGAGCAGAAAACCAGCAGTTTGACGCGACTGCAGGCATTTCAGTCCTAAATCAAAATATAATTCAGCATTTTTTGGTCATTTGGTCAATATTTCTGTGGAGATGAATGGATCCCGGAGCTGAATCAGTATTAAAGCATGAAATCCTTTAAACATGGTGGGAAAGCTTTAACCAGATATTTGAGCAGACGGTTTTCTGAGCAGCTCTGCTTGTGCATCCTTGCTGCAATTTGCTGCAGAGTGTTACATGTGTGCAGCGCGTGGGCAGCAGCTCAGAGCGGCTTCAGCCTGTCAGGGAGTCTGGGTTCTTTAATCTTCATGCCTGATTCTCACAAGCATTTCAGAGACGATTCCAGGTGCAGGCGGCTCACGATCCGCAAATATGAGAGAAAAATCTCCAGAGTGGATTTAATCTGTGGCTCAGATTTAGGAAAAAACTCCCAAAAACTCTGAAACATGAACATTAGTCATTATCACCACACATTTATTCACCTTACAGTCAAACACTCACGTCAAATATTAATAAAAACATTTTAGTTTTTATTCTTGGGATGGATATTATGTAAATTTAACTTTTTGGAGTTTTACATCATGTTATGATCTTATTCCCTCACATCTGTTGCTTTGATTCTTCATTCATGTTTCAGAACATCTTTAATCTCCATGGCAACCATTCAGCTGTGTAAAACAGCGGGGTGGACCTAGCCCCGCCTACGAGGCGCAGCTCCGCCCCACGCAGCTCCTTCAGACTAGCCAGCAGCGATTAGCAAACAGCTGCTGGAGCTGCTGCTCAGAGCAAAGCTGGTTAAACATTAAAGGGTTAATAGAGGAGCCATGTTGGGACGACTTTATGGAGGCGGAGCTTCAGGAACAGGAGCTTCTTAAAGAGACAGATGCCCAATTTCAAGGTGCTACGTTACAAAGTCAAATCTCTTGTCGGCACTGAGACGGTTTTAGTTAAGATACTGCAGAATTAATCAAATTTATATTGCACATAAAGATAGATTCCTTAAATTCTGCTCAGACTGTTCATTTCGGAGATAATTGCACTTTACATTTGGACCGCAGTGGTACCATCAGAACCACTTCGGAGAAAGACAGATGGTCTATTAGCTCTAGTGACTGGAGGACTTCATGTTTCTAAGAACAGATCAGGTTTTATTTTCCCCACTGATTTCATCAGAAGACGATTCCAGGCTGAGAACAGAGTAAGGACTGATTTTATCTTCTAAACGTGTCTTTAATTTGTAGTTAATGAGCTAAAACATGGAAAACAACCAGCAGTCTATTATAAACAGTTTCCTTCAGAACATTCCAGGAACGTTCTCAGAAAATAAAACCCAGCGCTCAGCTCGGCTCGGCAGAGCCGCAGAGATATTGATTGATGTTGGACCGTGTCTGGCTCCGGCTCGGGCCCCGGGGCCCCCAGGGAGCCGAGCAGACAGATGGAGAGGAGGGTGGAGCGGGACACGGAGGGAGAGCAGCAGCTCGCCTGGGCTTAACGCTGCAGAGCTATTGATTGTCACCAGAGATAAAATCCTCCTGAAGCCGAGATGACAGCCAGACAGACGGAACAATCCGGCCAAACGGAGCGCGGTCCCGACCCGACCCGGCAGATTACATCCACAGCAACGAGATTCCTCAGTATCCATTACCGATATCTGCTTTAATCCACTTTATCTTGTATTGGCGAGTTTTTCCTACGAGGTTTTGCTGCTGGATCAGAGCCGTCAGCGCGTTCAGCGCCGAGACAATAGGAATCTTCTCCAACGCTGCTGGAGCTCCAGAGGCAAGAAGGGAAAAATACTGAAAGTAATCAGGGATTCAAAACAGCAGAAACTGAGAATAAAAGTAATTAAAGGAGAGGAAACATCTGACATCATTTAATGGGTTCAGATTAACGCTGGCGTCAGATAATCTGCAGAACGTTAACCTGATCAAACTGAACGTTCAGATGATGCATAGGATTGATGTGCAGCTCCAATGCAGGTTCTAATGCAGGTTCTAATGCAGGTTCTAATGCTTCCATCCTCAAGACTGAAAACCGGTGATTTTGCATCTGAGCTTTGAATTCTTCATCTGAAAAGAACCAAACCTGACTGATCTACATATCCTGTAGCAACTCAGTTTCTGAAAACTGAATTTGATTATTAGTGTCATGTGAAGCGAAAAGGTGGAGCTCTGTTACTGTCAGGGAAACATCTGAATGTAATTAACAGGCAGACACTTTTGATCTGTTCAAACATCCATCTCTAAAACAGAAGTTGTGCAGGTCCAGCAGTCAAACTAAATTATTTTATCAGATCGGCATCAGTAGATGTTTTCTCAGTGATCTGCCTGCTTATCCAAATGTTGTTCCTGTAGCTCTAACCATCATTAAAGCACCTTTATGGTCTGACGGCTGCAGTTACTTCTGTTTCTGCTGATCAGCCAAGCGAAGGTTCCTCATGTTCGACACCAAACACTTCAGCAGGTTCAGGTGACTCTGGATTCCTGCATTTGCTGGGATCGGAACAAAAAAGGGAAGGTATTCAAATAATGCACAAAGCATCTCGACCTGTGCATGATTGATAATATGCAAACACAGCTGGGAACACGAAGCCAGTCCTCCACGAGGAAAACCCACAGTCTGCCTTTCACAAAGACTCAGAGAAAACACTAAATAACACAATGCATGAAAAGGCTTTAATAATGAGCTGCTAGTCAGCAGCGTTGATGTTTTCAGTGGTTTGTGTGCGATATTGGATCTGGAGTCCAAACTGGAGACCAGAAGCTGCATTTTTATTATGAAAAGGCAGAAAACTGTGTTTTAAATTACAATGTTTCCTTTAAATAAGAGACAATTATAATGAATGAGCTTTTTAACACAGTAACTCCTCATCCTAACACAAAAAAAACTATCAAAAACCAGGAGTTATTATCAAAATCTGCCATCAAGAAGATTTAATCTGAGTTTGCTGCGTCGACGCAAATGCAGGTAATAACGGCAGAAATCTTTCTGTCGGTCTAAAGATTTGGTGGAAACCGTAAAGAAAACTTTACATCCAACAGTGCAGACTCCGGATCAGATCCATGAAGTTACGTCACATTTAAAGCAGAGCAGGATTCTTCCTGAAAACCCGAATGATCCAAATATTGAGATACTGCAGCAGGTTGTGCTGCAGCAGGTTGTGCTGCAGCCACCTCCAGACTGCAGCACAGTCTGGAGGTGGGTCCAGATCAGAAAACTGATCCAAACCAAAACCATAATCAATGGTTTGTTTTGCTGTTATTATTATTACACCTGCAGTGTGTCTGATCTACGTGGTTCAGGTGGAGAAGCAGAAGCCAACAAACTGATCAACCCTGAAACCAAGAAATTGGTGCAAAATTCAGAGAAAATGAAAGACCTGAGGGAAAATGTGGATGTGATGCAGGTGAAAGCTTAGAATCATGTCAGAAAGCCACAGCGCCGAGTTTTAGCTGATGTTCCCTCTGAGTTAAATCCTGATGTGATGAAAGAATCAGAAACCTGAAGTCTGGTGTCGCGGGTCCGAAAGCGACGGCGTGTTCGGAGATTATTGGCAGGACTTCCTGTTGGACAGGAAGACGCAGCCAGCTGTCGCAACAGTTTTGAGTCTCTGAAACCACTAAAATCCTCAGCAGCTGACGCTCCGCTGGGCTTTCAGGGTTATGATTTCCACTTTATTCATGCTATATTCCTAAAATATACATGAAATGGCTGCTTCAGGCTCTCCAGAGGAAAGAAGAATCAAAACTAAAAGAAATGATTATCTGATGGTAAAACCAGCAAACTGGGACAGAGAGACGGTAAATCCAGGAACAACTGGACATCCTCAGCTGGAGCAGTTTAACTGGACAAACAGGAGAAAATGGACAAATCCACAAAAAATGTCTAATATAATAACATACATGGCGCTGGAGGCAGGGAAATCATCCGAGGCTCATGAAACAAAAAATGACATAAATAAGAAATATTTAAAATGAAATACAACTTAATAAATAGTTTCATCCATTTCAGTTTGTTCATATAGCAACAATTTTCCATGAACATCTCAAAGATCGTTAGAAAGAAAAGAAATGAAAACAAAACAGTTATTACATAATAGAAGATAAACAAGACAAGAAAACAAGCAACAATAAATTTAGTCTTTAATAATCTTTAATCTGAGCAGAAAAGTCCAGGTTTAACTTTTTACAAAAATCAGGTAAAGTGCTTAAAATTTGGAAAAATAACATTTATTTTAAACATTGGATTTTAAATTATAAGTTTCTGTTCATTGTAGAATAAAACTATGTTTGGTCTAACGGAGGATTCGATCCCATCAGCGTCTCTGAGGACGTCTACCTGGTTTTATTTTGAGTTGATCCGTTTCGCTCCACAGAAACAGCAAATTAAAAAACCCTTTCCTGTTTGCTTTAAGAAGACCCGGCATGGATTCGTTCCCCGGTGGCTCGGATCCGTTTGTTTTCCCTTTTGAAACTGAAAGATGTGGCTAATAAAAATGGAGTTTGAGTCCAGATTGACGCGCTGGCTGTGTTGGCTCCGCGCCGCGGCTCTGCTAATTGAGAGGATTTACGCTGCCTGGTTTTTATTGACGCTGCCAGACTGGAGAGGCTCTGGGTCGGAGGTTCACTCACAGATATGTTGTTGGTTATTGCAGCGAGGAACGGCTGAGTCGTGACCTCTGGTGGAGGTCAGCATGTTTTCAGTTCAGACGCTCGTTAACGTGCTACGTTCAATTTGTTCCCATAACCAAAGTTTAAAAAGCTAACGAGTTTCAAATATTTAGAATATTTCCTCTGGTGTGTTTATACGTTGTCAGAAAGTTATTAGTATCTTTATTGTACATAGATTTATATTCTTGTGGCACAAACTGAAGATTACAGCCAAATCAAAACCCTTTACAGGTAACTGTGAGTCCATTTCACTCAGTAACAACTTCCACACCAAAGAGTTATTTTGAAACTGAAATTTATTTTTGATGTTTTATTATGAGAATAAAGAAATTATTCTTGAGAATGTAACTAAGCAGCAGTCATTGGTTATTTATATCAGGATTAGAGGCAATTAGCAGAGCCGCGGCGCGGAGCCAACACAGCCAGCGCGTCAATCTGGACTCAAACTCCTTTTTTTTTCGCCACATCTTTCAGTTTCAAAAGGGAAAACAAACGGATCCGAGCCACCCGGGGAAGAATCCATGCCAGGTCTTCTTAAAGCAAACAGGAAAGGGCTTTTTGGGTGAGAGGCAGCAGTCTGTCTGCCTTCCTGTTATCTTCTAAAAGTCTTCTCCTCTCTGTACCAACTTTCACACTGAAGAGTGTTGTTGCCCTGGCATATGGTGTGTTCACTGACCAGAAAAAGATTGGATTTTGAAACGTTTGTGCTGGTGAAGGTGAAATCCGTCAGATTCTGATCACCAGCTGCTTTCTGGACATTTCCAGTAATAAACCTGAAATCCTCCTCAGAGGTTTGTCTGGTAAAGATCCAGTAACGTCACCAGGACAATTCCACAGTCAAACTAAAAGTTTTCCTTTTATTCCCAATGAATCCAGTAAGTCAGTCTGAGACGCCAGTATATTTTTTTCTTTGTTTAACCTTCCTGTCCGTCCGTTTGTCATGTTTGATTCCTCCGTTTGGATCTGCAGTGTGCAGGACGACGTTACCTGCACACAGAAACACCTTCAGTCATGATCTGAACAGCAGCAAGCGGAGAATCGGCTCCGACTCTCCGTCACTGTGACGCCGAGCAGAACAAATGTGTCTCTGCAAGGCTGTTTGTGCTCAACCCACCATGTCACATCTATTAGTCTGCCTGCTCTCCAACTGCGAGTGTGTGTAGGGGTGTGTGTGAGTGTTAGGGTGTGTGTGTTAGGGTGTGTGTGTGTGTTAGGGTGTGTGTGTGTTAGGGTGTGTGTTAGGGTGTGTGTGTGTGTGTGTGTTAGGGTGTGTGTGTGTGTTAGGGTGTGTGTGTGTGTTAGGGTGTGTGTGTGTGTGTGTTAGGGTGTGTGTGAGTGTGTAGGGGTGTGTGTTAGGGTGTGTGTGTGTGTGTTGGGGTGTGTGTGAGTGTGTATGGGGTGTGTGTGTGTGTATTGGGGTGTGTGTCCAGGTGTGTGTGTGTGTGTTAGGGTGATTTTATTCTTATTATTACCACTTTATTCTAATCATACCACATATTATTCATTCTGATTATATTAAAATTTTATACATGTATTATTTTGACTTTATTTTCGTACAACTTTCTCATATCTTCCTTATATTAAGATTTTATTGTTATATTTTAGATACGAGTTCATTCTCGTCATAATTTTGTGACTTTAAAGGGACGTTTCATTTTAGTTTTCAATTATTTCTAATTTTCAGCACTTCATGCACCGACGTTTTTCTTAGAGAAATTAATTGAGGAAGTTTTGGTTGAACATTAATTTAAAGACGCGTCGATCTGTTCTGAATAAAATGACTGACTATCTGCTGCCTGCTGAGATAAAGTGTGAACACGCAGCGGAGATAACGCCGCTGTCTTCCTGTTGCACAATGAGCATCAGGCTCAAGTTTACTCACATTATTTAACACCTCCTCCATTTGCTCATTTCCTGTCAGGCCAAACGGGTCATAAATAAATAAAGTTTTAGCCTCAGGGTGAATCGTTTCGTCTCCGGTTCAGTAAAATCAACCTGAAAAAGAAGAAGTGGAGGGAAATTTAGAAATTATTATTGGTCATAATCTGGTTTACAGAAGCACAGCTAAACAAACAGAAGCACATTAACACTCAATTAGGTCCAAATCTAATCGTCTCATCATGTCATAGATATTATCTATTTATAAAGGAAACATGGTTATAATAGGGCACACACACATATTTTAGATAAAATAATATTGTCACAAACAGTGAACAGTGAAACCTGAATAGTTCACATAAAATGTTTCAGTCACTGCATGATTTTTGTTTTCCTTTTGAGATCCGGCTCGACTGTTCGAAATTTTAAATCTAGTTAGACTTTTGTCTAACTAGATTTAGACAAAAGTCTAATTCGAATTCAGAGTCACAAACTTTACTGTGGACAAAAATGTAAAAAATAAACTTTTCTTCTAAAACTGATTCATGGTTACACATGAATTTATACTCCTCCTCACTCAGTCAGCGTGTCTGTACCATAAATAATAACTGAGTAACACTGAATTCATTTTCGAGTAACGCAGAAAAAGCAGAAGTATGTATTTTTGGTTTTAAGCATTTTTGTGGCGTTAGATCAGCAGCCAGCCAGACTCAGCGACCGAGGAAACCGGAAACCCAAACGTCTTACTGTAGATACAGAAATCTACTGGCTGCCATCTTAAAGTTCTGATAAAAACCAGGAAATCTGACCAAAACAGGCCAAACTCCTGTCCCTGCAGCGGCTCCAGGTATACAGAAGGATCCATATAAAAGCATTTTAGTGGCTAACTGGTCTGGTCCAACTGAGTTACTCATCAAATATGAGCCAATCAAAGCACTAAAGCCTGGTTCATATCACAAGTTTTAAAAATTGGAGCAACACACACACACACCAACAATCGGCGGTCAGACAAGAAATCTTATAAAACATCTCGAGATGAAATAAGAGTTCAGAGTAAACAAACATGGCCGACAGAGTGAACAAACATGGCCGACTCTAGAAGCAATGATCTGGAATCCATAAAATCCTGTGATGTTCAGGAACTTCAGTCCTTTAAATCAGGACTGAAGGAATTACTGAGTACTTCTAATTTCTCGATACTTTCTAAGGGAAGGTAGTTTGATCCAGCAGCCGACATGCTGCCTCTTCTCCTCCCAGCCATGTGGGTCCATCTGTCTGTTCTGCAGCAGGTTTTTTATGGGTTTGTGAATCATTGTCATCACGCTGCCAATTCATTTCCTCCTAAAAACGAGTCTGTGAGGAAACCTGCCATCACGTCAGGATCCTGCAGAATCTATCGCTGCTGATTGGTTTGGTCTGCTGCTCTTGAAGATTCTTCATTTGGAATAATTAGATGGTTGTTTTTCCAGGAAGACGTGCAGTTTTTGAGCGGACACGCTCCACTTTCTATTCCCAGAGCAGCATGATTTCCCAGAGGACTTCAGTCCTCAGAGGATTCGGCTGCTATTCCCGGACTAACAGCATCTAGTCAGGTTGACTCTTCCTAACGAGGACGATAATTACTCTGTGACTTTTTTCTGCCCTATGGCTTCATCCCGGAAAACAATCTGGGATGTTTCGTCATCCCAGGAAAAGCTGCAGGAAGCGTTAAACCTTCAGGCTCATGTTCAGGATGAACGATGGAGATCAGTGCGACCGCAGACTGAAGAGGGAATTCGGACCAACGGTTTTCATTATTTACAATCCAGATTTATATTCAGCAACCAGATTTATTATAAAGACTTTTGGCATTAATACAACTTTGTTTCACAGCCACAAAAATCCACTTTTCTTGTTTTAACGTTTTCTCTACTCTCTGATAAAACCAGCTGAGATAAATGCAGGTTATAGTTAATTTTTTCTAATGTTGTAATTAGTAAATATTTGTTCGCAGTTCATTTCTAACAGACTTTGATTTCTGGATCCTCTTACATTTCTGTGACGCGTGTCTGCAGATTGAGATGTTTACTGCAGAAATGTGCGTCACGTCTTATCCAAGGCCAACAACAGAGACTAATGAGCCAACAGTTTTGTTTGTGGACGAGTTGAATAGTTCATGCACACAGAGGAAGAGACGGATTTTAAATCCAGGATCTTCTTGGATCTTTAGAGTAACAGATCTGCCAGCTGTGATCTGCATTAGAAACTCTATAAAGTTAAATCTGGAGCTTTTCTCAGCTCACAGGTGAATGTTGTAAAGTTACCTGGAGAGATTTAACCAGATTAAATGTTTAAAGATCCAGAAAAAGATCCAGATCCAGCAGGAGAAACTTAAACCGTTTTCCTCGTTCATGGCTGATTGCTGGGAGACGAAATGTTTCAACAGGAAAATCTACGATTTCAAAAATACTTTCTGCCTTTGCTCTGAGAAAACATTTTCTCTTCTCATTTAATCTGATTTTTCACCCTCAGAGGGTTAATTTAAAATAAAGTGTCCGGTACAGACTCAGTGTGCTAAACTGAAGACGTGGTGCCAGAAGAATCTGCTTTGGGTTTGTTTTAAAAAGCAAAAACAAAGTTTTCTTTCTCCAAGGTCTCTTTTCGTTCACGGTCACATTAAGTGTTCAGGAGTGTTTTATTGCAGCAGCTCTGACCTTCGTTCTGCTGCTAGACAAAGCAGTCCGTCCAAAAGCCCAAATGGAGAAGGTGGCAGCGACACGGCGAGGTCAGACGCGACGTTTACAGGCTGAACGTCCTGATGGACGAGAAAATAGGATCAACAGACACTAAAACACGAGCAGGTCGATGTAAACACAGCACTCAGCAAAACGGAGAAGTGTTTAAACCAGAGCAAAAGTTCTCATCTGAGGGAGGAAGTCCTGCTGAAGAGGAAGAAAAACACTTATTTCTGTGTTTATACGTCACTGAATTAGGTTATTCAGATAAATAAGTCATGACGAAGCAGTTTTTCCAGGCGATTCTGATCGGAAATAAATCATCAGCTCGTCTCTTTAAATTCATATTTATTTCTGCTTTCCTACAAATCCTGATGAAATTCAAGAAGAAAATTTACTGTAATTTAATTAAAATAAATTTAGATGAAATAATGGATCGAAATATGAATAAAAGTTTAGAGAGAAATAAAAGTGAAAACACCAGAAAAACAGAAAAGCTATTTCTAATTTAACTAAAAACTATAAAAGTTATATGAAGATATCAATAGTTAAACATTTTAAAATATTAAAACCAGTTATACATATATTTGTTCGATACGTATTTTTTTAAACCTTGAAAACCTTTTAAAAATCTTTAGATAAGACTTTACAATAAACTTTGTCACATAAATGTAACAGCAAATAAACCTCAAATACGAAACATAATCTGTGTTTAAAGAACTCTTAATGGGAAAAAGTCAAATAAATCTAAATAAATCTGAAAAAAAAACGACCCAGACATTTATAGGCAACATTAGCTGTGCAGAGATACTGAGGAAGAGACATAAATTACATTTTTATTTAAATGATATTACTTTCTTCCAGCTGAGCTGAGCTGTTATAACCAGAGGAGGAACAAAAAGTTCTTCATACCTTGAATCTACAGTTTTAGTCTTTTTTAGGGATTTTTTTTTTTTAGTTCTGGGGGATTTTCACAAGATTTGTGAAGGTAATTTGTCCATTTAGCATATTTTAAGTTATTTCACTGGCTTGTTTGAAACAGTTGGGCATAAAGTTTGAGGCACTCAATCAGCGCTGTAACCAGATGGATGAATGAAACCGATGCTCCCTGGAGGAATGTTTTGCAGCCACATCAGATTTTATGCTAAAGATGAATCATTTTCCCATTAAACACTCGACGCCCATAAACGGAGCGGCGACAGAGCCGTGAGTCAGACAGGAAGCTGTACAGTCAGCAGCCGGCCGGCCGGCTGGCCGGGCCGCGGCGGGCGGCTGGCCGGGCCGCGGCGGGCGGCTGGCCGGGCCGCGGCGGGCGGCTGGCCGGGCCGCGGCGGGCGGCTGGCCGGGCCGCGGCGGGCGGCTGGCCGGGCCGCGGCGGCTGCCATCATCAGCTGGATCTCTGCCTAACGCAGGCAGGCACATCATTACGCTCATAATCTGGGAATAATCTGGGATTTGTTGCTTTAGATATCTTGATTCTGACCTGCCATGGTGACATCTGGTCCCGAACCAGCCAGAGGTGTGAAAGTACTCACATTCCCTCCTTCAGTAGAAGTACTTGTATAAAAAATACTCTAACGTAAAAGTTGGATTGTTTTACTCAAATGTAAAAATTACTAGTTTTGAAACGTACTAACGTACAAAACACAAAAAGTGATTTTCACCTTCAAGCATTCAAATGACTTTCGATAAGCCGACCCGATCCGACGCTATGAGTCTCAGAGGATCCAGATGATACAAATATATAAAACAAGCCTGATAACCTGGATATTGTTTCAGGTTGTTCTGTTTTCTATCAAAAGGTCCGATACGTCCTGAACTCCCTGCGCTGCAGACAGGAAGTCAGAACCCAGTGATTCAGATCAGTATTTACTAACTTCTTGTTCCTTTGCATTCAGCAGAGCAAACAAATCAAACATTTCTGCCCGTTTCAGATCATGCAGCTCGGATTGGTCGTCTGAGATTTTCTCTAAAGTTCCTAAAACAACTGAAAGTAATTTCTACAGGAACTGGTGGAGAGATGCACCAACAGTTGCAGCTTTGAGTCTCCAAGTCCACATAAGTGTTCGATCAGGGGACCAAAGTGTGGCCCGAGGGCCTTTTGCGGCCCTCTGGATGATGTTGTGGCCCCTAAGAGATGATTCTAGAGCAAAGAGAATCTGCACTGCAAAAACAAAATCTCACCAAGTATTTTAGTCTAGTTTCTAATGGAAATATCTCAGCACACTAAAAATAAAACAAAACTAACTTATAAGTAACTTTTCAGAAGGAAATATGAGTTTGATTTTAGTAAATGATTTCTTAATATTGATGGGAGAAGTACCTGCTCTATTGGTAGATTATTTAACTTATCAGACATTTTTTCCCATATAAAGGAAATAATCTGCCAGTGGAACCATCACTCCTAAGGAGTTATTGACTTTAAACAAGTTTATTTGCTGAAAGTGATTTGTAAGTTAGTTTTGTCTCATTTGAAGTGAACTGAGATATTTGCACTAAAAACTAAACCAAAAATAGTTGGTAAGATTTTGTATTTGCTTAGTGAAGCACACAGTTGATGCAGATAGATGGTTTTTCTATCAGGCCAACATTTCTCATTAAAATGTTTCTAAAATAAAATGTTGGGCACACAACTTATTTACACATGCCAGCAACGTCACTGAGAGAAATGATGAATGAACTTCATCAGGGCGCCAATGAATGTTGGGTCAGAAAAAGACCAAAAATCTGACGATGAAAAGATTCAAAGGTTTGATCATATTCTAACTTCTTCCACTGGATTTCAGGTTCTGTTTGCTAACTCTGAGTTTGTGAAGGTTTGATAGATTGTGGAGAATGATTTGTGTGTTCTTCATATAAACTCATTAAAATCTCCTCCACTTTGTGTTTCTGTCTCCCGTTGGTTTATCTGAACTTTATCTGAACCGTTTTCATTCTGCTTTACGACCTTCAGGCTGACGGATCACCGCTGTGTGTCAGAGAGAGGAGTTGTGGGCGGGTCAAAGGTCGCACGTTTCTCAGACACACTGTCCCTATTGCTCATTAATAAACAGTGTGTGTGTTTGTGTGTACAATCTCTATTGACCTTTTAATGAGATGGATTCATGAATATTTTCATTGAACCGTTTTATTCTTTCTATCGTTGGTCACACACTGATGTGGGATGGCGTGCAGTGAGATGTGCTGGTCAGTCTGGCTCGACCAACTCTCTCTCTCTCTGTCGGGGGTCAGAGTTCAACCCTACCAGTGGTGATGACGTAAACATTTAATTCACTGCAGTGTGACATATTCAGTCCGCAACCAGGAACTTGCATTGTTTACAGTTAAAATATTGTTTAATCTGTACTTTGGACATGTTTAGCATCATTAATATAACATCAGTTTGCATTAAATTTTATAGCTGCAAACCAGGGAACGCATATTTAAAACTTTCATTTGCCAATTTCTGCTCAGACTTATTAAAAGTTATTAAATTACAGCAACTGTTTTCTAATTATTCCATCCATAACAAAAACATTGGCCACTTTTTTCACTGATTGCAGCGGCAAACCGTCGCTTTAGGACATAATGCCTGATATTTCTTATATATTTAATTGTTCCTGTGAGGACAGCCAGTGGACGGCTGCTAGGCAGCGGCTCGTTAATCCTTCAGATTAAATCAGACTAAGAGTGGACACCAGTGGATACAGTTTGTGTAAATGAGCTGCTGCTGTTTGGGGAATAATGGATACATAAAAACACAATATTATAGAATCTAATTTGGATTATTTTTATGCTTTCCACTTCCCTCTATTCATTTATATAAGGTTTAGAAAGGAAGATTTTAATTGTTCTGGTTCATTTATCATACTGATCAATACTGATCATTAACAGTGATTATTAGTATCTGTTGCAGTTTAAGTCACTGGATTTTCCTGAATAACAACTGTCCCAATTCGCTGAGTTTATGTCCAAACTCTCAGATTTCCGTCCCATTATGCCCAGATTTCGCTGCCACTGTGTTTCAGAACGGGTCGACTTCCTGTTTTGTTAACAATGGAGATTTTTCTGAGCTTCATCTGCAAAAACACAAAATAATATTTGGTCCACTTTTGTGCAAATACCTTAATATACCAAAATAAGACAAAACTAAAATTGCAAACACTTTTCAGTAAGATATTTCACATACTCACCATATATTCTGCATCAGCAGAAACCAAGAGATCAAATGGTTCTCATTTGGTGGTTTAACAGGTTATTTGTGTTTTCTATAAAGAGACTGTTAACACTGACTCATAAAGAAAAGTATATTTATGTCGTACAAAGCAGAAGCTGTTGACGTCTGCTGTATTGTTGTTATTTTTGCAGATTAAATTTAGATATGAGTCAAAATGTTGTAATCTATAGATATAATGAACAAATAATAAAGAAACTACATTTTGTTTGGCACAATTACTTAGCAGGTATAAATAATTCTTTTTATTAATATTTTGATTAATCCGTGTCAAGGCGTCGGTCATCAACTCTGGAAATTCAGTGTTTTTGTTGGAATTTCTTTCTAAGTTTGATAAATTAGCAGCAGCTAACGGATACTAGCTGCTAACCGTTAGCATTGATTTAGCAACTACGTCACTAAACCATCTGAGGCTGCATGATCATAGTGATGGACGGGAGTCCTGAACAGAGCCACATATTTGTTTCTAAAGTTATTTCTAATTTTATTCCTGGTTCTATTTGTTCCAGTTGAACTAACTTGTCTGTGAACGTCACTCAGCTGGTTGCGATCATATGAGCGGGATTTACAACAGCTAGCTTAGGCAGCTAGTTTAGACAGCTAGCTTAGACAGCTAGCTTAGGCAGCTAGCTTAGACAGCTAGCTTAGGCAGCTAGTTTAGACAGCTAGCTTAGACAGCTAGCTTAGGCAGCTAGCTTAGACAGCTAGCTTAGGCAGCTAGCTTAGACACGACCCGAACCTGCAAACATCCTGACGTGTTGATCAAATTACAGACTTTGCCTGAACTCACACCACATTATTTATATCACTATGTCATAAACAGTTTCCCTTTACGTCGGAGATGCTAACGCCATGTAGCATACACGCTAGGCTACATAGCGGTGCGGAAATGTCTCCATGGTTACTAATGGTTAAACCCGTGCCTTTCTCCATAATCCCATATTTATATTTTCTCCACTCATACATACTTATAAAGTATAAGACCGTTAGTCTTCTTACCTTGTAAAAAGAGTTCGCTGCAAATCCGCGGTTGCACCGAAGATTTTTTTTACTGCTGTCCATCTTTCCACATGAAACGTTATAAAATGACTAGTTTGGTTTGTCTGTCTGTGCAGCTAACCGCACAGCATAATATGACCATTTCTAAGGTGAAGTTAACTAAATAAAAGCTACATTAGGTTACAGATGTCTGTGTTTAGACGAGCTTTGAAGGAGCACATTGGTTGTTTCCGCTTCCGTCACGGTGGAGTGGGCGGGGCTCTGGAAATCGTGACGTCACGTGCAAAGGACCAATACCCTGCCAGGTAACATCATGGTTAACTTAAATGCAAGTTCATCACCAGCTGGCTGGAAGATGTTCGCTTTAGCCATTTGCTAACTTCTGTTGCAAACCCATTACATTTCTTTTGTACTTTCTGTCAAAATAAAGATTTTAAAAAGTTTAAAATTGATTTGGGTAAACTGGAGGAGCCCAGATAAAATTATTACTCTAAACTTGAATGTGAATATGAATGTTTGGGCTGATTTGTACATTTTAACCCGGATGGATTGGTAAACCTCCCACTAAAAGGCCAACGCCGCTGTAAAAACAAAGCCGTGTCTTCAGCTGCGTCCCGCTCTCAACCTCACTAACAGGTTGTGACAGTCTTGGTTGAATGAGTTCATGCCCCCCACGCAGTCCGTCCTCAGTGGGACAGACGCCTGTCCCCAGAAGGACAAAAGTGTCCTTCTGGGGACGGATCTGGCTGACACCAGCCAATTAATTCATTTCCTGATAAGGAACTCCAAACAGGAAGTTCCTGGTGTTTAATTGAGAAGCCGTGAACGTCCAGATCAGACAGATTCTCTGCGGCTTGTTCTCCAGACGGGACCTTCTGCTGCTGGCGGCAGTCGGGACCATGGAAATATCAAACAGGCCTTGGGGGTTTTTTTTTTATCTTTGTCCTCGGTCGCCTGAGTCTCTTATCTGTCTGAGAAAACAGCAAGCGGGCCGAGGCGGCCAACGCATCTGACAAATCCAATCAGTCACATTAACCGGCGGGCGGACGGGATCCACTGCCTCTGCCTCAGTGGACGCTCTGCTGTGTGTTCACAGCATTCAATACTTTTAGTCTAATTAACACAGGGCTTTATATTTATGACCGGGGATTTAGGTTTTCAGTAAAAACCTAAATCATCTCTGATTGAGCGCTGCCTGGCTGGCAGAAACCTGAGATCAGTGAGTTTTGTTTCTCCAGACCTGCTGAAGCTCCAACTGCACCTGTTCTTCCCCAAACAGAGCCTGAAAGGCTGACCCGGATGTGTCAAACACACCCTGAAACACGCTCAACGTTTTACAGGAAAACCGGCCAGAAGCTTCCAGCATTCAGCAGGAAATGTGATGTTAGACGTGTCGCATAGATGGAGACAGAAAATAAAACCCGGGTCTAAATACAGGGACTGCTTAATATTCATACTTCTCTACAGTTCTGTTTGCTTTAAATAGATAACAGATTTTGCTGACACTGTCTAATTTGATGCAGAACAAACAAATATTATCTTAGTTTGGAATTTTTATTATTATTTAAAGTTAAAATTCCTCATCACATAAAACCTTTGAGTGGAAATGTGAGAACAAATGTGATGATTTGCGGCTCATCACATTTTGGACTTTAGCAAGAGCTAATGGCTAATGGCCCAAAATGTAGGACCTGCTATCAGATCTGTTTCATTCAAAAGTTTAATGGTTCTGCTAGAAGTCCAGGAATCTGCCTCTGCCAGCGGGACGCATCTAAAGGCAGCAACGAGGAAACGATGAGATTCTGCGCTGACTCCTGATTGGTTTAACTTTTCTTACACATCCGGTTAGAAAAGTTTGCGAATATCAGGATCAAGGATGTGGAATCAATGTTAATCCAATGAATCAGGATGTATTGATAATCAGAAAGGAGGTCAAGCTGTCAGTTTCACATTCAGTTTAGTGAATCTTCATCAGTGCAGACAGAGCGTGTGCATAGTTTCACGTGAAATAGCGATGTTTTTGTTGAGACTTTTGAACAACAGTGTTGCTCAAGCTGCAAATTTTTTAAAACATTTTCTAACAGTCTGTTGTTTCTTGGCTCAGTTGGAGACCAGAGTGTTTACACTGTGATTAGCAAGGTAGCGCCAAAGCATCTCAATTTCCTCCGCTACTGAAATGCATCATGGTCCTGGTGGCGACTCGGTTCAGTATCACACACAGAACAATGCTGTCCTCCATTTTTGTTTTTTGCTGTTTTCTTCCCGTGCATAAAGCTAACCGACCATCATGCATTTGCCACTGCATGTTTTCACACTGGCAGACTCCTTCACACCTCCGGCGGCGGCGATACAGGAAAGTTGAATCCTGGTTCCAGAAAGCGGCGGTGGGAGACTCCGGTCACTGGCGTCGTGCAAACGAGCAAAAATGTTCCGGTTTCTCTGAAACCAGAACAGTGTGAACCCATTCTCTCTCGAGTTCATTGAGCCGTTACATTCAGTCCACTGTCACCCAGTGCTAAAACATTACAATCTCACTGCAGACATTTCCATGGGCCATAGTTTCACCACAGCTAAACCATCTGTGCTCTGTGCAGACCTCAGGAGGCCAAGTCAGTCTTGCCATGACTGGGATGTATGAGTTACCGTTTATACCAGCAGGTGTAAATATGCTGATAACTGTTGCTACAAGAACTCCTGTTGCAAAAATAACACATAACTTCAGACCCAGAACAAATCATTTGTCCTGGTTTGCAGTCATGGAGGTCGTGTGACTGTCTGAAAGAGACGGGATTCTGCAGAACAAAATGCCAGTGGATCCAGAGAGACGGACATAATCTGTTTCGCCTTCCTGTTTTGTTTTGTCTGCTGTCAGTTTTCTGTGCAGCCAACAAAGCGCTTGGACAGATTTTGTATTCACTGCTAAATGTCTGAGTGGAAAGCGTCTCAAAGCGCCTCGCTGGCTTTCATCTCTGCTGAGTGCGTCCTCTGACTCATAAGCAGCAGCTGAACACACAGCGGCTCTGCAGCGGATAATCAATACCCATTTCCAGCACTGGACTTTTCTCAAGCTCTATCAATTTGAGGATTGATCGTCTAAACGCCCACTAATGTGTGTGTGTGTGTGTGTTCCTCACCATTTAAGCACACATGGCTGTATCTGTGTGGTCAGTGTGTTTTAAATAAGGCAGTCTGCTCTCCAGAAGCCCCTGGGTGGTAGTTATTGACTCATAAGTAATTCCACCAGCTGGCCAAGGTTAAAAGTCGTGGCAGACAGTAAGACGACTCCAGATTTTTAGAAAACTGCTTCTTGGATTACCAGGTCCTGCTTCTGCAAAGGTGTTCAGGAGTCGCAGGTTTCCTCTGGTTCCTTATGCATCTTTTCCCAGACGTTCCTGGATGAAGGTTTTCCAGGTTTTCAGAACGTCTGTCTCTGGACTTGGCAGCTTCGGTTCTGTAAGTTGCAGATGATTTGGTGATTGTTTTCAGAGGAATGTGTTGACCTCTTAATCAACCAGGCTTAAAAACGAATCAGACCTCATTCTATCCGTCCATCTGTCCTCTTGCTTACCCAACATGATGAAAGCAACAGCTCAAGCAAACTTCCCAGATTCTCTCTGTTCAGATTCATCCTGTCTCCTGTCGTCTCCGTCAATAAACAGTTTCTTCATAAACCTGCAGATGCAGTGGAGATGAGTTTCACAGCTAAAAACCCAAAAATCAGATTTTTGCCTCTGCTGGTATTAAATCCCATAGTTTTCAAATCATCTTTCCCGCCATAAACGGAGCGCTGTGTTTCAGTCAGTCAACCATTATTTATACTGCAGTTAAACCATCAGTGAATTTGGATGAAGCAGAGGATTCCTCTGAGCTTTACCTTCATAAGGTCGCTCATTGAGGACGTCTGAATGTCGGGCTTTTCATAAACAATGTCTGAACGTCAACACATAGAAAACTGACCAGAAAAATCAGTTGTGAGATATTTTCAGTTGGTAAGATTCATTCCAGTTTAAATTCCCATCCTCCACATGTTGTTATAAAAATCTTCTAATTCGTTTGTATTACAAACTTAGAAGCTACATGCTAATGACAGATACAACATGTCTGACTGCAAAAATGAAATATTTAGTTTCATTTTTCTTGCCCTCTGCTGCTGTTTAAATATAAATATTTTTTTAATAAATTGGACAGAATCTAAATCCAATCGTCACCTTGTTTTAATCTCTGGCCTGACGGATGATGTCAGCCTCCTGAAGCTGAATGTTTGTTGGACAAAAATAGACGCAGCCCCTGGTCCTGCTGCTCGCTTCCACACTGGGGACCAGTACCAATTTCCACAGATGGTGTCGTTTATGTTGGCTTCTCTGCTTTAACTTCCACTTGCAGCTCCGTCAGTTCAGGCTGAGACTGGAGAAAGAAAACACTTCCAGTGAATTCAGTTTTGGATGTTCTTGGAAAGTCAGATCTCTGAATGTGAGCCTTTCCTGGGTCCCTCAGCTTCCTCTCGTTTCTCTTCCAGTGTTTTTATTTGTGTGTTTGTGAGGTTGGGTCAGATTTTATGCTCCAGTTTTCAAGCTGCTGTTCGGTGAAACAAACTCGCCTTAAATCATCCGGCTGGAGGAAGTTACTGCTTCCTTCCATTCAGAAACAGGGAGGGAGCGCACCGTTCTCCATCTGAACTGCTGGACCACAGCACTGATCTGTCCAAACCAAACCGCTTCCTGTCCTATAGCGGTGTTAGAGCCACGCTGAAAATCATAACAAATAAAATTACAAGGTAAAATCATATGAATATCTTAATATAATGACTGTTAACCACATTTATAGGGAAACCAGGAAAATAAGCAATTTTCTCAATTTCAAGTCCTGATCATTCGTGCAGTTTCTTTACAAAAGTAGATGCTAACATGTAGCGTTAGCTGCTATATGTTAGCATAGACACGAGTTTTAGGTTTAGGTTTCTCTGATAGCATTTAGCACAACTTAAACGCAACAGTCTTTCCCAGGGTCCAATCAGGTCCTGCAGAAGCAGAAATGACCCCCGGTAGCAGAGAAGCAGCTTGTCTGTCGTTAGCGGATGTTAGCTTTACGGTTAGCGGATGTTAGCTTGTGTATTAGATTTATGGTTAGCGGATGTTAGCTTGTGTATCAGATTTATGGTCTGGGTTGAATCAATGCAGGGCAAAAAGTGATTGTTAAAAAAATGAACCACTTTAAAAATAATCAAAATTAGCTGGTTAAAGTTAACTTTAACGCACTAAGTG